AAAAAAAACAGGTCTTTTTTATCCTTTTTACGCGAAAGAGTCGACGAGGTGGCTGTTTTATGCAGCTTCCTTCCCTTGGGTCGTGCGAAATTAACTTCCGCCGGTTCAGCTCTCCCTAACTTGACTAAAGCGGGAGATGTTGAGAAATGTGAAATTGCCTAATTTTGTGGCTTAGCACAATCAGTTGGCGTCCAACGATCGAAGGACACCGCGCCTTTCTGTGATGCTGATAATGTTTTTGTGGAACTGCTAAATATGTGGTTTGTGAAAATGTATTGCCTTAAATTCGGATTCACTCGTTTTTTCCCCATGTAGACATAAAGTTGGGTGGGTTTCTTCTGGATTTCTCTCTATTCCTGCACGTTTGAGTTTCCATTAGCATAGTTCTCATTTCGCGACTTTTTTATTCTAAAAGTATGCATGGCAATTTGGTAAACTGAAAGATCTTTGCAATGAAAAGGGTATTGAGCTCTCTTACGCAGACAGAAGTGGGCTTCTTTTTATCTACCTGTCTCCTCTCATTGAATGGCTTTCACATTGCGTTTTTGGGTGAAAAAAGCGGCCTTTGTAAACAACACTTTTTTCCTTTCTTTCATTCGCACCTCTTCTCTTCCCTCCGCCTCTTTCTAAAGCCTTCCTGCAGTTAGCTGATGACTGGTAGAGAGGATTGTCAAGCGTGAGAGTGGTCTGGGCCCGGCAAATGCTTCCTTCGTCCTTTATTCACAGCCTTTTTGTAGCCCCTTTTTTGCTCCTTTCCACATTGCTGCTATTTTCAATTCATGGTCTTCCAAAGTGCAAGTATTCAGAGCAAGCTAACTGTATTCTCTCTGAGAAATGCAGTATTTTTGAAAGGTTGGACAAAAGCAGTGGAAAATCTTTGTTTCGTTTGATTCAATTTTTCACCAAGGAAACTCTTTCTACTTTTATTAAGTTGTCGACAGTGCACGCTACTGTCTGACTGTGTTTCTTTCAACGCATTCCCGTCCGTCGTGAAACGAATTGATGATCCTGCACAAAGGAGGTTTTTGCTATGCTTTTTCCCACAAATCGTGAATATTTTGCTATTTTTGAGGGTTTTTAATTGGTGACAACCTTGGCTTAAGCAAATCTTTGCTCGTAAACAGGCAACGTTGGAATGGCAAATTCGGTAGTTCAGGAGGAGTTCAATCTAGCAGCAAGGAAAGTCTCTTTTGCACCGATGAATCGAAGCCTCAACATGCAAACGCGAAGTCTCTCCTGGAGAAATGGATCATTTCCGTTGTTTCGAGACAATGTCACCCTTGCTGATGGTTAGTTTTTTTATTACAAGCCCTCGAGATTGCTACCAACTCCCACTTCTATGCCTTTGAAACTGATATTTGTCACATTGCGATGCACCGATTCCTTCTGCCGTTTCAACTATTCACCACATTTTCGGTGAACGAAAAGTCTTGTACAGTTTTTTTGTCAAGTCCGAGTGCAAACATCTGCAATGTCAGTGCATTTGACTTCCAGTGTGCTTTTCACAGACGCATCAGAAAACAGCATTCAAAGAGATGAAGTACCAATAAAAAAGTATTTTGAAGCATTACTTGCGGTTTGAAACATCTCTGCGCATATTCTTCAGTAATAGTCTTTTTTCTCTCAAATGAAACAGTATTTTAGGTCAAATATTTAACTTACATCGTGCATCAAACGGTTTAGTGTTGCATGACTTGTTATTCCACCCGCATTAAGAACCTTGTCGATTGGTAAGCATATAGTATCGTCGGAAGAACTTATGTGTTAGCCATTTCGATATATAAGTCTTAACATAAAACTCTTGGAGGCTGCGAGAGGTTTCGGGTTGTTCATTTGTTTTCAAAGTTGATTCAAGCTCTCCTCTGTTGCCTACCAAGTCGCGAGTGCAGCATTGAGTGCTATCGCGTGACTCGTGTCCATACGGTTGCTCGCCTAATCCTCTCAAAGGAAATACTAAGCTGCTAATACAAGTTGCTCATAAGGGCAACAAAGACGGAGTGAAACTACTTTTGATCGTGTCGCCTCCATTTAGCCCTTAATATCCTCATGTTCGGTTGCTTAAAGGGGATGTCATGGGCAGTAGTCCTGAGCAAATGTACTGAAGGATGGGACAGCGATAAGAATTGGTGGATGGAAAATTTATGCATATTCCTTTTTTACCTTCTGTAATAGATGATGAGGCAGGAAACAGTAATGCCTCAATGCTTTTGACCCACCAGTTGAAAATGGCACAAACCTTCTTCCCCTCCTGCATATGTGCTGCTACATTGCCTCTCACAAATCTCATGGATGACTGCGCGGTAAACAACGAGGGCATAGCAGGTAGGTTGTTCGGACAAAATCTCTACAAATACTAGAATATGGGTGAACTGACCAAGTTGCGCGCTGTGTTGAGCAGGGGAAAGGCATAGTAGCTGCAAGACGGAAAATAAGTTAATGCACTTTGCCTACAAGTGATTTTTTGTCCACGCAAACTCAGCTCAAAACCTAGCAGGTTACTACTACAAATAAACAATATCTATTTGTACATTTGGAAGAAATTTAAACGATCGTAAATGAACTCGAATGGATAAAATGAGTAACAATCCAGTCAACATATTCGTAAGAGGACTAGTGTTTCAAAAAGTGCTGTTCAAGTTGACCTACAACAGCCCGATTCTTGTGGTTTAGCACTTATGGCGCCTTTAGCCAAACAAAAGACGACCCATGCATTGCGAGACTTCATTTACTTGATATCTTCTGTGTAGGCCGAGTGAACTTGGTGATTCTGATCCGTTGTATTGGTGAAATTTGCTGCTGATAAAGTTGCCGTACTGACTCTTCGTTTACCGATCAGTCTGTCAGTCAGTCAAACGATGTTCTGTTAAATTCTGCATCGGCTGTCACTTATCATTCGTTAAATATGAAACTCCCACAGTTGCATCTCTATTCTCATCCTCTTTGCGCTTTAATTTCAAGTAAGCACCGTGGTTGAGGCGGTTATTTGGCAATGCCTCTTGGAAGATACCAGTCTCTTTTTGCGGTACATCTTTGAGAAACTCACAAGAGTTCCCCACAAAGATGACCTCATTTCGGTTATTCGAAAATTGGTCCAACGTCTTCCTGAACTTCCGATGCAAACGGCTCACATCCTCTTCAACAATTTGGTAAGTAGTGTTCCAACAACTTGGCACAAGTACGTGCATTAAATTGTTCTTACCTTTTGAACTGCAAAGATCACGCTACCTGCTAACTTGTTTTGGTGTGTTTGTTGGGGTCAGGGGTACAAAACCTTTTCAAACTCATGCTCACTGGGTTCTTAAATAATTAGTTAATTTCCTAATTGGAAGAGTATTCTACGAAAAATGCCGTTCTTCAAAGATTCCGTTGAAGGATCGCAGCAGTTTCGTACCATTAGTGTGGTTGGCATGGTGTTATGCTGTTTGGTTTGGTACATGCGCACCTCTCTGACCAACTATGGTAAGATAGAAGCAGAAAAAACCTTTCTTGAGAAGTTTTATTGTTTGCATTTTGCTCGCCCTTCATTGCACTTCGTTAATGCCGAAACGGGAGGGTGGAGATCAAAACCAACTTTAAGATGTGCACTTTTTCCAGGTTGGTTGCATAATGTTTCACGTAAGAACTCCGAGTTTCAACGCCCCCGACTCAATCGCCAGTATTCTCTGCGTACTGCACATGGTGAGTTTCCAATGCTGCTTCTACTTTTCTTACGTCCAGAACACACAAAGTGATAGTTTTGTACTTCCCTGTAGATCATTCCATATGTAAAGAATATCTATTTCAAGGATTTGAAGCAGACTTTTCGTCGCGAGCAAATCGATGTAAGTTGACCTCCTTTGAATCGACTTAACGTTGGCGGCACTTTACGTCGGTAAAAGGGCGTAGTAACTTATTTATTTCACAGTTCAGTTTGGTTCACTTGTCACCATAGCAACTCCGCATAATATTGTTCCCTGCACGTATACTGCAATACCTTCATTCCTCCTCATCATTCCCTGATCAAGTGATGCCATCTTTCGGTTAAAAATGCGGTAGATAAAATGTTTGCCACCCAGTGCGTAGCTAGATGCGATTAAAGTAAACCCCATAAGAGTTGGTTACCTTCGCCACAACCTCTCAGTTTAAACTTTACTAGAACCTTTGTTGCGTCTGATTTTGCATTTGGGATTCCAAACAATGTAAGAGCAGGTCTGTCTGTGCAAATACATTCGTCCCAGAGCTGCAAGCAAAAGTTTTGTTTATTGTGGAAGCCTCTTTTCTTAATTTTAGTCAACTCTGCTGGTGACAGCTAACTTGCCATGCGCTAAACAATTTAATGTCTTCTGTGACACCATTTGTGTGGCTCAGTTGGTGAAACTGCAGGACGATAACAAAGTATGTGGCTACTTTAATACCCTTTTGTTGGTCTTAGAATATGCGTATGGGATCGGTTTGCATCTACTGCGTGTACATTTTTGACATTGAATTGATTTGAAGGGCAAAATGCTCATTCGCTAACGCTAAGGTGACTTTTTACAACTTGGATAAATGAAGATTAATGGCTTCTCTGAGCAGAAACCAATTACTTAAGACGTAATTGCAATTCTAAACGATGCTTCCCTTAAGGATAATTAGATAGCCTCTCTGTCGAAGGGTGAAGAATTACCAAAAATAGTTTCTTATTATCGCTGATAAAAATTTGCTGGTTTACTCGAGCGGTGCCCTCGCTTGCCCTTGCAGGACTACCGGTTCAACGACATCCTAACTGAGGCACTCGAGGGCAACAGTGTGCCTCACAGTGAATACCACCTTCACGTGCTCTGCGATGATCGTTCAAGTGAGCTGTTGTTTTGGATTGAGCAAAGTGTACTTTTTGACCACCTCTTCTCGCATAGCTGAGACAGCAAGGTAGAGGTGGTCCGCTAAACCCATCGATGCAAACGGGATGTGAAAGCGCGAAGGAGATTGGTTTGCTTTGATACATCGTTTTATTTTTCACCCGCTTGTGCTTTTATAAGACATGACTAAGTGCTTTGGAGCAAGTAGCGCACTAAGTGGATTCAGTTTACTTCAATATTCCTGTGGCACCACCTAGTAATGCTAATCATATTGCTCGGCAAACAGACACCTGCGTGAGGCTTTATTTCACAATAAACATGGGCAAATTTACTTTGAGATAGTTCACAATTGGGTGAATATTATTGAGGACAACTTTTTTGTACACCTTGGTATGACTGAAAATGAAAAAGATCTAATGCGATTTATCGAAATCAAAGCTGTTTAGTTGTAGGTAAGGGGCAGGTATTCAACTATACCATTGCATTAATACATTCGAGGTCCCTTCACTCCTTCTACTTGCAGACATCATACGCAACTCCAATCACTATGTGCGTGACTTCTACCCATTCAAGAGGAACCACATCCCAAAGCTGAAACTGATGCGCGTGGATCGGGAAACAGGACAGCAATTATTGCAGCGCAATGCATTTAGTCTAAAGGTTCAAGAAGTGGGCAAACTGCTGTTAGTGAAGACCATTCTCCAAACCACCGCAGCATCACATGTAAGGGTGACTGCACAGTCACTACTTTGGTAATAAACTGTTCCAACCATCCGGATTTAAAAAGGATGGTTGCGCCGTTAAGGCTTATTTCCACTTTCAGTATGCATTTGGAACTCAGGTAAAATATCTAAGATTTGTGTTTTTCATTGAATTTGTTGCATCTTAAGATCCACTTGGGAATTAGCAGTGAAATACAAGCTTTGGGTAGGATAAATTCAATTTGATTCCAGATTTACTGCCAGACTATGTCCAAAACAAATCAGTTCCACCCTAGTGACGCGTTGTTGTTGCCCATCTTTCCTTTTTGCAGTCATTCCTTCGTCCCATTTACGATTCAGCATAGCTCATTAGTTATGACACATTATGAATAAAAGAAAATGATCGTAGAGGAATACTTATTTCCAAAAGACTTAAATAATTTGTTTTTCCTGTCACTCCCACCTCTCTTTGCCATATGTTGAACCATCTGTCTCATTAGTCCTCCCCGGCAAATGAAGTTCGGTAAGCAAAAGCAAGGGCTAATGCTCTTGAGAAATTATCACGTCTTTATTTGCCCCTTCAAAGCACTTTTTCTTCGCTTATACCTTCTACCTTCTTTGCAAAGTGTCCTGTTATTGGCATAGATGGTACTTCGCATTGCACTGGATACAATCTCTGCTGAAAACTTAAGTTGATAGCCATATTCACAAATTGCCATTTTACCTCAGCTAAGCAATGAACTAGCTCAGTGAGTGGTTTGTTTGCCCTTTTTAGATGTCAAACCACATCCTATTTCTGCGAGAAGAACTGGTCAAACTACCCTCGTTCCCGCGCAAAGCTCTAGAGGCCGAATTCACCCTCTACGAGTGTGGCGACATGGGCAAGGCTCTGTTTGCAATGGACTCCATGCACAAGTTAACATGGTGTCAATTGATAAATTCGATGTTTCAAAAAATGACTTCCACTTTTCCTTGGTCTACCGATTTGCAACTATTTCTCAACGTTTACAATGGCACGCTTGTTTTACACGCTGAAGACACCACCATTCTTCGTCAGTGTCTGGCCTTTTACCTGCAGGTGGGCCGAAATTGTAAACAGTTGTACTCTATTGAGGCGCATTGTCGATTAATGGTTCTGGACTAAGGTGCGAGGCCCTTTAAGGTGGGTCGTGTCATTCAATTCCAACAGGAATGCGCATTTTCTGGTCTTTTGATCACAACCATAACAATGCTCACTGAGCGCGCTAGGCTCAAACACAAAGTGCGTTGATTTTATCTTCGATACGTTGATAACCACTACCGAAAACAATCAAGACCAATTTTCCCTTTTACGTAAACACATTTAAGCGCCCAGCTAACTGGCAGTCTAACTTACAGCCATTTCGTCTACTCATTTTATTTTTTTTTGGGGGGGGGTGAGGGGGAGGCGTAGCAGGAAAATTTAACTTCCATCGCACTAGAGAAGAAATTCAGACTCAAATTGATTTGGGAATTTACAACTCCGACCAATTTGTTATTGCCACAAAATATGCAAGCAACAATAAACGGCCTCAGTTTTGTCGTGTCGAGATTTCTGGCACCATCTTTTCCATATTTTGTCACGCATCATTGGCATCGGTAGAAGTGTTGTATCGAAAGTCTAACGCATTCCCTTCCCACTTCTATTCACAGTGTTGCTACCAATTCAAGATGATTTTCTCTGTCAATGGGTATTTGAGTATTCTTCCGACAATCATCAGGGTATATCACAACAATCAACACAATGGAATTCTAAAACACGCGATAGAGTTCATCTTCAAGCAGTTCTACATAATGCATCGAACGCCTTTCATTCTGCAAATGTTCGGCAGCATCGCCAATTACATTGACCTCTCGCCCGATGATACTGTTCAGCCCAACTTTTATCGGGTAATGTTTTACCCTTCCGAGTCTATGGCTACATAGCACCACAATCCACCAACGTCAATCATTGCTGCGCAATGGCCTTATTTTCTGCTTAACTTGTTGACGTCTTATCGAGTGTCAGTCGTACACGGGGGGTTGGCACAAGTACAAAAGAGGCCTCTTCAATCCAATGGAAAAGGTTAACTATCCTTTAAATGAACGGAGAAGCGGTTAAGTTTTGGACGCCTGCATTCCTTTCCCTACTCTACTTAGTGTCCCAATTTACACATACGTGTTGGTTGTGGAGGCTACTTTCGTGCATGGCTGAGAGAAAAAAATTCTACCCAAAACGGAGAGCATTATCATTTTTAGCCCGCGTCCGTTACCGTCATGTCCACCGCATTAGTAGTGACTGATTTTATCGCGACACGCAGCGTGTAGGGCGACAACTTAATTCAACTGCACATTGGCAAGCGTAAATCTTACTAAAGTAAATATTTTGCTGACACAAACAACTCTCTCCATTAAAATATTGTAATAAGCCAGTGTTCATGACTAATTTTCTCATTGAACTTTAAAGGAAACATGTTCTTTTAGCTTTAAGTGGCTCATTTATTATTCATTCAGGTCCGACCAGAGACCCTTTATCAGCTTCTGCGAGCTATTGGAAGGGAGATACCGGACACACTGGGAATACTACAACTGTGCAGTTTCTCTAAGCCCTTAAAAGCTCTAGTGAGTTAACTTTTACACTCACATAAGTCGCAGAATGTCAATCCTTTTGATTTACTAATCAAACTGTTCATCTCAAAATTTTACAAATATAGTAGATGCTTTTATAACACAGCAACGCTTTACAACAGCGGTGATCAAGTTTTATAAGTACGAATTTGCTTATTAACAGGATTTCTGCTATGCTGACGACTCACAAAGCTGGTCAATTTTTGAAACGGTGAATCTGTGTGTCACTGTGCAGGTTTATGCTCCGGAATCCTATCGTTCGCGACAAATGATGGTAAATTTCTTCCCCACCCTTGGCTCATCAAGCTTGCCATAACAGTTTACAATTGAGGCCCTCAGCCCTATCTTAAGCTGTAGAGGAGGCTAAAAAATGCTTTTTTGTCTTTACCTATCACTTACCTTAGTTCCATCGAAAAAACCTGCGACAGTATCGTGAAGTATGAATTGACTTATGTTGGACAGGTCTGTATTTTCTTTACCCATGTTATTTGAAGTTTGACAGAAGGTTGAGGTGTAAGTTGCTTTCGTGGTGGTAGGTGGATGATTGTCAGTCCTCTGCTTGAGAAATGTCGTGGTATTTTGTGTCGATGCAGTTCACTCCACGGTGGTAATTAGTGCAACTAACACTGCATTCAACGTGCACACCGGACCAGCGCCTGTGATTGCCACTACATCGGTTTCGCAAAGTACGCCCTTCTGGACTCACTTCGACTGAAAGTCCGAGCGGCACTTACTTGCCCCAAATTTCAGCTGATTATGCATTTCTTTAAAGTCCTCGTCTAAGCACCATTTTGCTTACGCAAGTGTCGTCTTAATGTTGAGTAGTGAAGTTTAAAAATGATTTAGGCCATTTTGACATATTTTAAGAGCTACTGATTGCATTCAACCCCCAAAATACACATCAGTGGTGTAACTGTTCGATACACCAAATGTGAAGATTTTTTGGTGCTGAGTATGGAAGGGGTAAACTAAAGCTCTGGTGATGCTGCTTGGGTTGGTTGATTTACCCTATCCTTCTCCTTAGACGCACAAATCGAGAAGCCGCAACTAAATGTTGTCTGACTAGTCAACCTAGCCATAATAATGCGTTTGCACCGCCTCTACAAACATTTTTTAAAACGGCAAGCATTTTGACTTGGAGATAATACCACGATTTAGATATCAATGCATTCTGCATGTCGTTGTCACCTTCAATACTAGTAAACCCCTTCATTAAAGGTCAAACGGTTTTCACATTTGGTGCAATCTCAAATCGGGCATTTTCAAGGCATTCACTATCATTTGGTAGTTCATGTAGTGCTAAAAACGCATTTTTATACGCTCTTGATTGGAGGTTTAGGCAAAGCCTTGATAATGCTAACTGTGAGCTCTTCCTTACCTTGTCCTATTACAGGTTATTCTGCAAGCGATGTTCCCTTACATTTTACGCGATTTACCAGTCATTTGTTGTGAAGAATGTACAGGAGCGGATTCAAGAAAGTTTGAATTGCAGGCCATCCAACAACTGTCGGTTATGGTGAAGCAACTCATATGCACAACTGAGTGGATGACGAGGTTAGTTAGACGGAAAAGAAACTAGATTAGAAAATATCTGATTTTCCACACTCTATACTCTATTCTCTTCAAAGACGATCAGACGACACAAAGTCGGTGGTATCCTCTACTACCAGTAGCAGCTCTGTACCAGGAGGACCACGCGGACTGGGAGGAGCCTCGGTTAAGCGTCTCGCCTCAGCAGATCAGCCCGCAAAGATGCCGGAGTGGGCTTCTGCCATCTCAGGGAACTATTCGAACCGCCGCCATCACCAACACCATTCACAGATGCAGTATCGTTTGCAACGAAACTTTACGCGCTCTGGATCACCGTCCAGTGGTGCCATTGGAAGTGGAGGACGTCGTCCGCCCTCAGTTGAGCCTCCTGGAAAGCGATCGATGCGCCGCCAGCGTCACAGCGGAGACTCCTTTGGTGGAGCCTCAGGAGCTTTGAAGCGTAGTGCCTCAGCTGTGATGAGTGTCAGTGGAGGTGGTGGCGGTAGTAGCAGCAGTGGAGGAGGTGGCGGTGGTGGTGATAGTGGACATCACATTGGTACCCCTTCAGGCTGGCGTAAGTCGAGCATCGAACCGAGGGAGGCGATTCTTCAGATTGCGTCGGAGTTCTTGACTGTCGCCCACCGACGCCTTGGAGAGTTAGGGGAGCGGCAAAAGTCTTCGGAGTTGCTGGATGGAAAGGCTTTCATGGTGCATCACTAAATAAATTGCATAGAAATTTGTCTTCTGAAGTGCAGAAACTTGGCATAGTTCTTTGTTTAATTATTTTTAATGTTTGTTAATGTTCGCATAGAGAGGTTAATTCTCTATAGTGCTGTTGGCTTTGCACTTAAGGAAATACTTTTTATTTAAGCGCCTTTCGGAATTGGCGCAGTCGATCGTGAAGCAGTTTCCTCACAATGTAAATCTGTTGAAAAGCCAACCGCTTCAACGATTCTTCCTGGAAGTCTTACCACTTGCTGACTGGAGTCATGAGTCTCTTCGTTCATGCAAGGCTCTCGAGACTCTTGTCGGTCGATTGAACAGAACGCTTCCAAAGATGCTGGAGACAGCCTCAGTTCGTGTAGGTCCATTTCAACGAAATCGATGTACTGCAAATAAAGAGTAGGTAATTCAGGATTGAATAGCAGGCAGCTTTATGCTAATGTAAAAACCTTCTCAGTAGCGGTACATGTTGGAAACGATTGGCAGTGAATGATTGTTTAAATGCATATGCAGATGTACAAAAACTTCTATTTTGGTGCTTTATTTCTAGCTTCATTTTTTAGATTTCTGGCATTGCTATAAAGCACCACTCCCCCATATTATTTGCTTCTCTTTACTATTTGTAGAGACAAATCAGTTGGGAGCATTTTACAAACTTGATAAGAGCACTTTATCTCACCATTCAGAGGAACAGAGCAGTTGCTCACTTAAAAGAAATAAAGGTATGTTGATGTGTAGTTATTAAGAGCATGCATCCATAGATAGTCATATCGACTAGAACAATAATCAGGCCTTTGCAGTAGCAAAAAAGGTCGTTTTTATGGTCACATGAATTTGAATGCTGTATCTCTGCGGGTTATTTGCAAGACACGCCTTATTTTTGAAGGGTATAAACGAATTTTTTGCCTTCTAAGCTTGCATGACTGATTAAAAATGGAACATGCTTTGATTCAGCCAACAGCCATCGTAATTGATTCCCCTATTCCATTTATAAGCTGTTCAACGACTACTTGAAGCGAAGTCTAGTCGTTGGACCGAATGCCTGGTGGTCGACTGAACGTTTGTTTACGACCCCGCCTCAGGCTACCATCACGATGGTGACGGCACAACATCTGGGACGCAGAGCCACTACAACTGCTGGTGGAGAGCGGTCTGTGACCTCAACACCAGGGGTCACCTTCCACCCAGAGTTGATTACTTCTACCACGGAGAGACGTACGCCCCCAAGGTGAGTGGCATTTTTATCGACCATCAAGGAACAATCTATAAGACATGAATTTTGGGGATAGACAACTGTCAATCCAACACTTATTTATTGAATGTTACTTCCCCATACAATTGGATCTTAAAACAGCGAATTCATTAATAGCCTACTAGCATTATAAACCAGCTTTTCCTGCCCGGCAAGTTAACAATGTGGCATGGGGTGGAAAAGTTTAACACCGATCAAGCCACGGTGCTGTTTTCTTTCTAAGGGTTCCATTGAGTCCCACATCAACGGGCAGTACCATGACCTCGTCACTGGCTAAGGGCGCAGCCGCCTCTCCTTCCTCCGCCGAACGGGTTGCCCCGACAACGACGACAGGAGGAGGGACTGAAACCAGCTGCCTCCCTGCCGGTTTTGCGGCCGAGGCTACCCGTTTCATTGCTCTCATGCTCAGTTGCCTTGAGGTGAGCCAGTTCCACAGCATTGTCCAGCATTACTTCCTTGACGGGGCCTTGAAGAGAACCAAGTAAAATCCATAGAATGGAGTGATTCGCCGTCTTCTGAACAAGTTTTTATTTTATTAATTTAAAATAGTTAGAAGCAAAGAGACTGCCGCAAAGTGGAAGCTTTATTTTAGTGCATGAGTTATTTATACAATTCAAAATGTAGTAAAATTAACGTTCGAAAGGGCCTGCACTCTAGTAGGCTTTCTTCCTTCCCTCAGAGTGATTTTTACCACAATGAATGTTGATCGTTGTTGGCAGGTTGAGTGATTGGGAGGAGATGGTGAGACAACAAATTCCGACAGCTGAAACTAATAAACACTCTTAAGGCTAAAACGTTTAGCCATAAGACAGTAATTCTTTGCGAAGGGAAACAGAAAAGGACGTGAGGATGGTGTTGAACAATGTACCATTTTGAGGCACGGCAATAAAGGTGTGATGTTGGAAACAGTTTAAGTTAGTAGTTGGGGTAGTGGAAAGGTTTGCTTCAACCACGAAATGTGTTTTAGACAAGGCCGATTAAAAGCTTTTTGATTGTCGAATAAATCCCGACGAGTTTAGAGCCTTAGAGATTATTTTTTATGTAGCTTTGCGTTTATTTCCTATCCCGGAGCCTGTTTTTATTGTTTTTGCAAGCCATGTTGGCAGTGATGCCCAAAAACAATGTCTCTTGCTTGAAGGTTTTGGATGAATGGAACTGGAGTTTTCCACCGTGTTAATGTCACTGCGTGGAACGGAAAAGAAGGTGCACACACCACCGCTGCGGCTTTAAATCAATCTTAAACAAGACTGCATGTTAAGCGTTTGAACAACGGTTCTAGGAACCACCACAAGGTTTTGACGAGATGAGAACACGCATAATTTGCATCTGCTATTTATTGAACTATCTACATCATTCAAGTGGAGATCCAAACACTAAAGGAAGGCTTTTTCTCAAAGCTCCAAGCATGTGCAAAAAAATGCCTGTTGCCGCCAATTGTTAACCCAACACTCTCCATTACCACGTGTAGCATGTTACTTCCCACTCCAATGGTCTCACGGCCATTTCGTACTCCTAATTAGTATAAAAGTACTCTAAAATGTGTCATATTTTAGTCGAAATTTTTAGTACACATGACCGTATCCTTACTAAAAGGATAAACTTTTGACCAAATTCCTCCACAACATCATTAAATCGACTGGGTTTGAAAACATTTTCGGTGCATTCTGGAGACAATTCTTTTGAAAGGCGTATGAGACATGCGGCTAATGCTCCTGTACTCGGTAATAACTAACCTTTGTGGGTCTGTTCAGAAAAACTTCATGGAGCGATTTACTTCCTTGTGAATGTCGGCGGCGTAGCCCAATCTACATCTTCGGATCGTCCATTCTTGTTGTAAAAAGACCAATGGCCTAGAAACGCCTCAATACTTTACTGAAGCACGGCCTTGGCATAGTGTTAAGGTGTGCTTCTACTCTGGTTGGTAGCAATTCTCCTCTGAGCAAAGGTCTGTTAATGTGCATAACGCTTAAGATTCAGGCTCCTGTTGACAAAGAGGACAGAGAGGGATTGGATCGTGTGCAAATAACCAAACAGATATTCTCCTTTTTAGTCTTCATACCGTCTCAAAGACCTTTGTGAGAGAGCGAATTTCGAATTTTGTCGGTGTCCAACGATATTCGAGGGTGGCACTGAAAATCTCTCCAACTATTTGGCCTACTTGATCGTTCCATTATTGTTTCAGTGCAGCACTGGTCGTGGAGGTGAGCAGCTGTTACAATTGGGATATTCGATGCCGACCTACAGACATGAGTTTCAATCTGTCTATTTTCAAGTTCTTTGTCTTTATGAAGATGGGCTTTGTTGCAGTGCAGGTTAAATTCCATTTAAATGTAATTCAGCTTTATGTAGTTAAAGTGAGGGGAAGGTGAGAGTGAGTTCACCGCTTTTCAAGATACTACCATGTACTATAAAATATATTAGTCTCCTAAGCAACTCACTCCTTTTCGTGAATGCTTTAAACTCGAGTGAAGCAAGCATCAACGACATATGCAGTGTTTGGCTATACGAATGCGTCAATAAATGCAGAACGAGAATTGCCTCAAGAAAGCGAGGAAAACCAATGAAAGCACGATCTATGAAATGCACAAAATGCATGGGGTTGTGTGAGCAATTTTATGGCAAACGTGGTGCAGACGTGAGGGAGGAGGAGGAGGAGCAATGTTGACAGGACTCCGACGCCTGGTTGGCTGATGTGTCGACTCGTGCCACGTGAGTGGGCGGACGGTACGACGCATTTGAGCTCGGAGCGATTAGCATCACTGGGTCTGACTCCCCATTTCGGATTGGTTGCTCGGCTGTGTTACCTTCAGCCCTAACAAGGTGCCTTGAACACCATTTTTATCGAGTAGCATAAAATTTGCCTCATTAATCCCGTGACCCCTTGAGTCAGTCACAGTTACCATACCTTATTTTGACCCCATTGGGTTAGGTATGCCTGAGTCGCCAAAGTAGCTTCTACTTTTAACCACTTTAAATGAAGACTGAGTGGTATTTTCACGAAGTAGCTACCGAGTAAGCTGATTAAGCTTAGGCATAAAATGAACGTCTTTTTGTAACGTGGTACAGAGGACCTTTCGTACTGCGCTCCTGTAATTAATTCATAAGCTGTTTGTCACTCAGTCGAAGCGAATCTGACAGAAACGTGTTCAATACAGATCCAAGTTAAGGTCAAAGGCGATGCTTCACACTGTCACTAGAGCTCATCATTTGAACGCATAAATTACGCTCTCTGGGTTGTGGTGAAAATTTGGGTCAGCAGTGCCTTCACCCATGCTGGTATGTAATTTTCTGGTGCTTGGGCAGTCAGTCAGTGGTTGGACATAAAATGCTTACCCTTTTAAAAACCAAAGTGTTTTGAAAGCGTCGCCAAAGCAGTCCAAAAAAACTACCGATTGCATTTGACCACACTCAAGAATAACTTTGCAAACCATTTGGAAATTAAATATTTTTATAATTTAATCCCCTCTGACTAAACCAACAACCCATATTGAGCTGGTAACGCAGTCAAGATAAAGCCATAAATTAAATTTTAAGTCTTCTGAACCCGAAGCCCATTTTAAATGCAAACCAAGAAAAATTAAGCCTTACTACCAAGCTCTGTTCTTGAAGTCGTTATTTTAAATTTCCAAAACCTCATTGACGAAACTTTGTCACAAACTATTATTTACATTTCAACCCACATTTTTATCGCCTCCCCACCACCAAAGTTAGTAGGCGCAATGACAATTTGACCCTTTCTATCCATAGATTATCCAAGCCTCTCCAAGGAGAACGTTTACTATGCTCTGGAAGTATGCCTCTCGGGTCTATTCGTTGGCTCTGAGAAATGCTCCTCAGAGGGCGGAGTGACTTCAACTGGTACGGAGGTCGGAGGCGCAGGCTCAAGCCGACCCTCTGGCGTTGCCTTTGACCACGTGGCATTTGAGGGACCTAAAAAGCTTGGCATCCACTCTTCCTTTATAATGGCCAATTCCAAATCAAACCAGCCTATGGGTCCCGTGGGAGAAGGCTGCGGAGTCGGTAGTGGCGGAGGCGGTGGTGGCATAAAAACGTCTTTGGGTCAAAGCATGTCCGGTACGGTGGGAGTGACGGGTCTTCTACAGCTCCCAAATCTTCTCGGGGGGCCGCCGGTTACCGGCTCCACCTGGGAGTTGATAGGACCATCAGGACTTGCCTGCGATCTTGGAGGGGGTCGAATGCATGGTTGCATAGTGAACTTGATTGGCCCCACGCTGCACAGCATGAAGCATCCAAAGATGGAGGAGATATCAGGTGCCTCTGCGGTCGGGGCATTGCACCCTGGCATAAATACTGGTTTCTCAAGCAATTCAGTCGGAGCTGGTCATGCTAACTCCTCCATACTGTCAAACCATGAAAAGAATGTGCAATCGCAAATCGATATTGTGCACAGGTAAGCTTCATACAATAGCAATATCATTATGTAAGCATTAGGTATTCCTCCATTCGTATGAATGTTTAATGAAGTTAGTAAATGGCAAAAAAATGCATTTGCAATATCGTTTGAAATCGTACCAATTTAGCGTCTACGACTATTGGAAAAGCGTGTTCGCTACCAATTCTAATTATACTTAAATTCATTCAATTCTCATAGCTCATCCGTCATAATGGAAAATAAAAACACTACATTAACGAGGAAATTATGCAAAAAGTTGACATGAGCGCTTTCCTATTTTGAGAGTGAAAGGTCTACCGACAAACCCCTACTAAAAGGGCCTGGAGACATGAGCTTTGAAGGGACATTTGAATTTATTGCCAAGTCATTTGTCAATTCATCAACGACACGTTTCAACTGATGAAGATGTCACATGCCACATGTCACATGGTTCTGGCTATCAATAACGCTTACCGTATGAAACCACCCTAGGTTGTTCATATATAATTTTTTCCGTTAATTAAACCAACTGCTTAACATACTAAACTCAAGCTGTAAATTCTAATTAACATTCCGGAGAAGTTGAACAAACTTAACTAAGACAATTTGATTTATGGTGCTGCTTTCAAAAACTTCCTCCTGTTAGTCAAACTGAGGCAGTCTTCAAAGCCTTTCAGTATTTTACCTTCAATGTCTTTGCTGAGCAATAAAAATCGGTACTAAATTCCTTCTTGCCCTATGAGATAGCTATCACTTTCTCTGGCTCTCTCTCATTCCGCAAATCAGAGTCGACAGACGAGGAAAAAGGGTATGGAACAGTATGCAAGTCGCCGCCCACCCCACCGGTTCACTCTTCTGAGCCAATCAGCTTCATTGCCTCGATAGTTTCTGTTTTGAGGTTTTTTGGGGAGTGGAAATAAACACGAGATGCACTTTCGCACGTCCATTTGCCATCGTGGGGACGAGGGAGGGGAGTAGGAGGAGGGAGAGGAGGAGGTCGGAGCTGAGAAATGAGAGAGTTACCAAAGCGAACGAAAAGCCTTTGTCTAACGAGCTAATAATGGTGCTGGCGTTTCCGATCCATATGGCATCGCCTTCTTACGTGCTTAAATTTTGAAGGTAAAAATACGCCCAGCTGGAACGTGTTGAAACCAAATCATTTATGAAGGGCCTTACAATAAAGTGCATTTCCTCTGAAACGTTCTATTTGCGCTTGGCAACGAATAATTTCAAATTTTGTAGCTTCTGTGACATTTAAGTCAGCATTATTGGATTGAAACTGTCGTTTTCAGATGGCTTTACTAGCACGATTAAGTACGGTTGAGTAGTTGATATTGCTGTAATTTCGAATTAAAACGCGAAATTTTGAAGGGCAAAAAGTGTGGAGAACGCGAATGAAGTGAAAAAAAGGATGAAAATGGGGTAGGTACTGGTGTCTGGTATGTGGGACACGTGAGTTTTCCATGCTCCAGATTTACCTGCTTCCCACCTTGGCCTTCACCTGTACTGTCGCCCCACCACTGACGTAGCCGTCGCCGACTTTATTCCTTTCAACCAATGCCGTCTCGCCTCTCAGCGGAGAAAAGGCGAGAGAGGGAATGTGAGTTGGCTTTTGCTGATCAATAACTCTGCCCACCGTTACAAAGAAGGAACAGCCACTTCGTATTCCTTCTCACCACCATACGAATGCAGATTTCTGCCTTCAAACTTACTGATCTCACGAATGGCCAGATTTCGTTTGATGGCCTTTAACCAATGAATAAGTTTTCCTCAACGAAAAGGCCAGATTTAGATAATATCTTCTCTTCATGGTTGCACCATGAACAGAACCGTTTGCCCAGGGTATTGTTACTGAGAGTATCACTTCCATTTCCAAGTATTTATGTGAAAATGTTGGACCTGATAGGGTTCACTTAATTCCTCAAAGACAGCACCAAAAGTAGTGCAGCATTAAGGACGTCTTTTGTGCAATTTTATTCCGAATTTGGTGGCATTAAGGACCTGACTTCAGCAGACAATATTTGGTGAGAGTTTCCCGGGTGCTCGTACACTTTGTCACGGAGCTGTGTCAGTACCGTAAATTTGGAAAAAAAGCGCTCCCTAAAAGCAGGACTTTCAAGTAAATTCATGTCATTGATCTTGGACTGATCCTTTTTTGAAATGAGTACCCCACGATTGGGCCGAACGCTGCCTACTGCACAAGTGACTTGTCGTTGGTGAACAGGAGCCTTTTACCAACTTGTATTCCGGAAAGCTTAAGTGCATTCTCAATGTTAAAAAAATATAAACTGTTGTTTGGAAATGAACTCAAATGTCATAAGAGACCTTTAACAGAAGTTTACATGTTTAATGCTTGACAAGTGGAAATATATCCCGTCTATTGGGTTTGCTGGTATGCAAAGCTGATCAAATGTGGGAATGTCCATCATCTTAATGTGTAACAAAGGTGAACAGTCTTCTTTGTTGCTTCTTCTTCTTCTTCTTCTTGGCTTCAGTGCCAAAAACTGTGGCTGTCTGATGTGTTCACCTGAGCTTCCTCATTTCAAAAATCCATCACACTGGGCTAGGAGTCGGCGTTACTACCTTGATGCGCAAATATTTGCCTATTAAAAATGCATAAGCTGTAAGAGCGCCTATGAATTTAGTGTTTGTCGAAAGTGGCCAACCGGTTAAAATTAGTTATTTCAGAGGTGGAATTTACTCAGTACTACTCAAATTTATGGTAATATCAAATCGAATTTCATCATGGAACCTTTTCCTGAGTTCGTAGATTTAATTCTGATTGAATGTATTCACCCTTACCAACAACTTCTGATTCCGTCCGAAACTGCTTACAGCTAGCAATTTGGTCATACGGAGAAAGCTATGAAACTGCTGCTTCAATGGCTGCCCGATCAATTTCAACTTATTTCTTTAGACTTGCCTTTTTGGGGCTCAAGCTCATCCTGATTGTCTATCCACGTCACACACTGGCCAAGTCACGCCACATAATCGCCAGTCTGGCCAAGCTCGCCTTCTACCGGTGCTGCGGGGTACAGCTGTGGAAGTTCCTTGACTTTGTGGTCACCTATAGGCCGAGCATTTTCATGCATATGGCACCATTCTTCCGGTTCCAGGTATTCGCAATTACTTTAGGCTCAAAATCTACCTATTCTTGTCGAAAGTCCTTTTGAAACAACTTAGTCGCACGCCTTTTGAGCAATCTTCAGTTTACCAACAAGATGACATTAGGCATAATCTGGAGGCCATTTTAAAGTATTTAAACCTCTTATTCATTGACGAAACGTTGAAATTTGCATCTTCTCAAAGTGCCATGGAATTTAATCCAGGTTTTGAATTTCCAATGCGAAACTCAAGGAGAGCAAGCATTTCAACAGATTATTGGCCAGAAATTGATCGGACTTCATTTACCACCACAACAGACGATTGTTACCCTCTTGAAGGAACTTCTACTTGATCTTCAAATCCTTAGGGAAGAAAAACAGGTAAAATTTTAGCATTCTTATAAGCCATTCAATTTTCAACCGTTTTTTGGTACTCTTTATGAGCAATCTTCTTTTGATAGATGCTCAACTTAATGCGACAGAAGCATCAGCTCTTTCTGAGTCCGCGTCAGATGCACGACAGCTCAGTGCTTTCGCCGTCAGCTCCCAGTGATTCTGCCAACTCAGTAGCTAGTACACCCCTTCCAGGCATTCTTCGGCATCCCTCAGAGAAGCATTTTTGTGAGCTTTTATTGTGCTTCCCTACTACGATAGCCGTGACCTTGATTCGCTTTAATTTACGAGCAAAGTAGTATCAAAGCCCCCACGGTCCCAAAAGTAGTCCATAAGTATTCATTTATAATGGAATTATTATCGCTTGTGTGCATAGGATGTGAGCGCATAAAGTGGAAAAGAATCAAATTTATGGTGTCTTTTTACTCTTTGCCTAAGTTGTTATGGTTTTATAACATATATAGGTATTTTGGAGGGTGGTCAGGTGCGTCCGTTTTCTCAGATTGAATTCCGGCAGTCACTTCTGCGTCGAACCTCCGGAAAACGTATCACTGCACATGACGGCAGTCGATTCCTGAGCCATCACCGAACTCTTTCACAACGGAAACCTATCCTCACTGGTGAGGTCACCGCGATCTTGTATGATTGTCAACTGTATATACTACTCATCAATTTGAGTAACATTCATTTGGTGATTTTCAATTGCATCTAGCGTCAGTTGAAAGTTTGCCAAGGCAAAGCGGTCCCCCATGCGGTCTTGATAAACGTCATAGAAGGTAGTTCAGCACTGTTATTTTCCTACAAACACAAAGTCATTAGTTGCATAATCCAATCGTGTTCGTGGATATCTTAGCAATGAAAAGACCAAGGGCGAATTGAGGCGCGCAATTACGACTGCAGAAGGCGGGGAGAGAAGATTTGGCCGCTATCTTTCCGGCCTCACCAATACCGCCTTGTCACCAAATGGCAACAACACCGTAGACGTCAAAGATATTACAGTAATGGACGAGCTCAATGCCCCTGCCAACCCCTTAATTGCAGCTGCCGTAGCAACTTCTCTCTACGGATCGGGTGTGTCTCTCTCTCCTCAACTTTAGCTGTTGCACTATTTTGACCTTTTACCAAGAAAAACAGGTCTTATCGTGAATACACTAGTTTAAAATTAAGTTGGACTTATTTTCACCTTTGGTTGTTACTGGTCCACTTTTGGACTTATCTCTACCTACCGGTTTATTTCAATCAAACTGTACAACTTTCCGAACAGTGATTTGGAGGCTTATCGTAAACATTACCACATATGATGCCTCTAAGGCTTTTGCTGTCCCTACTGAACGCATTAACCCGCTTGGTGAATTTTGGGAGGCATGTTCTTGGCATTTGTACATGTACAAAATAGTTGAAAACCACTGCTAAAACTTTCCTTGAAGTATTTGCATTTATGGTGTGGGGTGTTGCATCATTGCTGATGTGCCGGTGTATTCTGCAAAAAAGTGTTCGAAGTTTCGCAATAAAGTGGTCTTTTGACCTTTATGTGGATGAAAAATGTCCCATATTGTACAGTCGGACTTAAACCAGTATTCCATCACCATCGTTTGAGTGTTATGTTATGTTTCTCACATATTTAATTCATTTCAAATTAGAACTAATAACGACTCCATTAAAGGAGAGTTTGCCAGGCCTTTGAGTTCCATGATGAAACTCAGTGGCAAGGCAATTTGCGTCGAAATTTATTCAACTCTATTACTTTTTCCTAGCTTAATACCTTTACTAATAAGGTAGGCGGAAAAACTGAGGAATGTTTCGCATTTATGAATTTACATTAACTTCCGTTTCTGTAAACGTTTCGATCTTTCTCAGCGATGCAGATCATGCTCACGGCTCCCTTCCCCCTGATCGTCGCCTACGTCAAACCCCTAAAATTCGCCTCCGGTAATTGACAAACATTAAGGTTTAATGTAGTTGTGCTCCGTTGAGAAGTATTTGCGTAAGTTGCGCTGATTAAAAACCACACTAGTGTCGTTAATTTGTGCTATACTGACAAAGGAATGCCCATTGATAGTTTTTTTGGCTAACTAGAGTGGATCGGCTAAAGAATATCTGAAGAGAACATCAAATCTGACGAAGTCACGACCATTGAAAACCCAATCCCTCCCTTAGGAACACTCAACACTATAGCGACTCGCAATATTAAGAACCGACTATTTTTACTTCAACAGCAAATTTTCATCCATTTTCTATGGCAGAAAACATTCTAAATGTGGTATCACTTGAATAAAAAACATGCATATGTATATTTCAGCAAAAGTTTTATTCACTTTAAAAATACTCTTTTCGCATTGCAGCTGCACCCTACACCCATGTGCGAGAAAAGGCGCGAGAGGAGCTGCCCGATTTGATTGGGGTGACAGATCCCTCGGAGCCCTTTAAGCCGAGCCGACCGCAGCTGAGGTCGAGCAAGCTCACAGACAACATTCCATTGGTTGATCTTCACACCTCTCCATCTACCTCGTTCCCACCTATCACCCCACTATCTCCACCACAGTTTCAGGATCCCATAGTTGTATCGACATTCGACTCGCAGCCAACTGCTGTCTCTCAGAGGCCACGGAGCCATGCGGACACTCTCACCAAGATTCGCTACGTTTAAGTGCTCCTTGTCCTCCATCCATCTTAACAACCAAATTCTTCCATTTCACCTCTGTCTATTTATTTCTCCTCTTGATCTCCATTTCTTCCAGTTACTTGACACGAGTAGATTCATTTAGCGTAAAATCGACAGATTTATTGATCGAAAACATCAGGAATTGGGTCTCCTCTTACTTCTTTCCTTTTCCAACCCACATGAAGAGGTGTATTGAAGGAGGAATGTGGTGTTTTTACAAACGCATCTCAACAGTCCCAACGAAGCGATAGACTAAGGTCATTTTCGAGGAATCCGCGGAAGCTTTATACTGATATAAACGACGAGTTGAGATTACAAATACAAGTGCTTATAAAAGATGGAAATAAGGCTGGAATATGCCTCCTATTTCACTTCAATGATTGGTAAGAAGTGCTGGAGTTTATTGGCGACTCAATGAGCGCACAGACTTGAATGCTAGTTGTATCGAACCTTAGCCTGTACTCACACTACCATTCAGTTCATAGGTAAGAATTGTTGGTGAGTTTCCCAACGTTTCCTCAAGCTAATTGGCGTTTGGCTCTGCCAAGAAGCCTACAACACTGATTGCTTTTCACTTCGCGGTAACTTCAATCCAAATTAGAAAGTGATTGCGTGAGAAAGTGAACAATATTACACATTCCTCCTTGGCATTGGTAGGGAGGAATCTCTTCAGCCATTCCCTCTGTTGAAAAGGTAGGCCTGCCTGTAGACAAGGGTTCAGAGCATCCATAATTCGATTTGCAGTTGCTTTTTGCTCCAACAGGTTTCCTTCG